GAAGCCCGACGAGTGGACGTGAGCGTGCTGCAGGGCGGCCATCTGCTGGGCGGCGATGTGCTGCTGTTCCGCGCTGTCCCTCGCCTCCTTCAGGCTGGGTCTGGACGACAAGGGGATGTTGGCTCCGGGGCTGTTCAGGGACTGGCTCTGCATCAGCCGCCTCTTCTCCTTGTCCAGTTCTGCCAGGATGGCCACCCGGGTTTTGTTCTGAAAGCCTTGTCCTGGAGGGTTGTTAGCCATGGCGGATTAGTAGTTACAGCGCAGAAAACAACACCTTGCCTTCACAGGCCCATGAAGTAGATAAATGTCTCTTTTAACGTTACTAGTTGACGTTCTGTGCTTGTCAGACTAATATCACTGTAAAAGACAAAGGTGTAGCACAAGGAACCGGGACTGACAAAAACTTCGCTGCTTTAGCTCCCTACGTAGACGACAACAATGAAAGCACTTCCGGCGTTAGCGTTGTGCCTTCAAAGTAAAAGGCATGACTTAAAAAAGTATATTTGCACAAACATTTATTACACCCCAACGAACAGATATGATAATACAGATATATGTGGTCAGAATTTGAATTTGTTTTCTTTTTTAACATTAAATTACTTTTATTTAATGTGTATAAATACAATGGACATAACTGCTATGAAACAAACAAACCCAGCTCACACCCTGCTCAGACACAAAAACTGCACCTACAGCCCCAGGTACAGCAGGGTGGACAGTATCATCACACACAGAACAAGACTTTATAACAGCTTTTTCCCTGCCGCGGTAAGACTGATGGCAAATACAGAAATATATTTAGAAATGTGATTACTAGACATGTGCAATAACGATGGTTGTACAGCAGTGGTGGTTCTACACTGAATTACTCCCCGGGCTAACAAATGTAAGAGTTAACGTTATACCAATAAATTAACATTAGCCCTTCATTGATGACATGGTACGGAAAAGTATTAGGGCCACTGCATAAATTTTTTTTTTAATTCTGACTTTATTCTCAGAATTCTGAGTTTAAAGTCAGAATTCTGACTTTAAACTCAGAATTCTGACTTTAATCTCGGAATTCTGACTTTAATCTCAGAATTCTGACTTTAATCTCGGAATTCTGACTTTAATCTCAGAAGTATGGGTACCTGTAGGGATCCAAGTTCAGTGAGTGCCTTTGAGTCATGCTGGAGAGGAGCTACGTGCTGCCCAGAAAATGTCGGATTTAAGTGAATTTTTGCGTGGTCGAAGAGTCCCAGAAGAAGCAATTTTATTAATGGTATAGGAAAAGGTGAGTAAAAAGACTCATGTGTTACTTTACTGTCTGGCGTTTGTAAAAACACAGAAAATGTTAAAGATATGAAGATTGGTAAACGCAGACACAGGTTAGCGTCTGTTAGCTAACATTAGTAGAAACATATACAGTATGTGGTCAGAATTTGAATTTGTTTTCTTACTTTTATTTATTTTACCGCTTTATAGACCCTTTAAAAGTAGGACATGCCCCTATATTAATCCAACGGAAACTGAAGGGAATGAGGGTAAATGGAGCTAAATGTCTACATCATTTTAAAATACAACTTTAACCTAAACACTGTTCTGTTTATAGTTCAAACAACAAATTGACAGGCTAATAGTGAAATGCCTGTGCACATATTTAGACAGAGATAATGTCTCATGTCACGCTCTTTTTATTGCTTAATGTAAATGCTAATTGTGTTTGTACGCATTTCCTTTTGCTTAATCCCACTATTTTTCTGCTGCAATATTATAATTTACCCATGGGGGTGAATATATTTAGACGGAAAGGCTCTTCCAGGAGTGTCCTAGCCTCATAGTCTACACTGCTTGGACTGAGCAGGCTATCAGTGATGTCAACCTGGCGCTGCTTTTCAGGGCAGTAGCCTACAGCCCGGTGTTTGTGGTTCTAGGAAATACTTCGTTCTGGAGTCTGAAATGATACATAAATAGAATGTACGTGCCGCCCAGCAATTAAAATGGTTAA